TGTGACGGCCCTGCGGAACTCGTGCGAGCGTATCACCTGGACCATGGACAGTTTCGCGGCGATGGTGACTGACCAGGGACAAGTCATCAAGCTTACCGAGTTCTCGCCGCGTCTCGTCCGCAACTTGCCGCGAAAAGTTGTTGTGAGGGGGCTGGAATGGAACTTCGGGACCGGCCTTAACTTGAAAGCTCGGGCGTGTGTCGAACCTGTCCTGAGCTACCTTCGCATCAGTAAATAGACCCCTTATCAGAAGGGGTGCATTAGAGCTCTCTTGTGTAATGCTATCTATACTATGGACCGTGCTGAGAAGCTCGTCCATGTCTTACCTTTAATACTTGCCCGCGGTGTTGGGAGGCCCGAGATACTCTTAGGCATAGGTTCTGGGAGTGCCAGGACCGTCAATGTGTGGAGCTAAGGAATAGCTTGGTACCTCAGAAGATCCAGAAGTGGGCCGCTGAGGCCGACGACAACTTGGCGTGCTTCGGCGTTTTCGATCACCCCGCCGACTCTTTCCCATCGCCGTGCCCCGAGCGAGGCATCACTTTGGACTGGGAGGAGGAGGTGGGGGACGTCAGCGTTATGTTTGAAGGGGACATTTTCGCTGATGGATCGTGCACGAGGTACCTCATCGGGGAACTCAATAGAGCTGGCTGGGCCCTCATCCTGGTCTCGCGTGCGACGGGAAAGGTCATTGTGCGGGTGCGAGGGCCTGTGTGAGCTACTTGTCCGCAGACGCCTCAGGCGGCTGAGTATCATGCTATGTCTGTTGCCTTTCGATGGCCCACGGGGCCCAGCACTGTGCTTGTTCGGATTGTCAAGGCTGTGTGGATTTCGCTGCTCTGCCTTGGTGCGAGCAGATTTCGGCCAAGAGGATGTTCAGTGGGTTGGCTCAGTTCGTTCATCGGGCAAGGCCTCGAAAGGAGCTTGAAAAAGGTTCGAGCCCATCTCGCGGTAGAGACGATTGGGCCGACAAGGCCGCCAAAGAAGCGGTGTTCTTGCATCCTGAGCCGTCGGTGGAGTTGCGTGAGGGTCTTGATAAACCCTGTGCCATCGCTCGTGCTGTGGGACGCCTGGGGGCTAAGTTGCTCGTTTTGTGGCCACGTCTGTCCCTAGGCCCCAATGCCCAGCGCATCCCTGCTCCCCCTGTGGCTAAGTCACAAGAGGATCGTCCTGTGCATCAGTGGGGATGGGTGGGCAGTTACTGGCAGTGTGCCACCTGCCTGCGTGGAAGGCGGGGAGTCCCGTAGGTCGAGCCCCAGCCAGGGGTGTGTTCGGTTGTTCTGCGCGTTCAGCCATCCAAGCTCCGAGCTCTCGGTCACCGCTTTGTCTTGCTCGATTGCTCGGATGGCTCATTTTACGTATGTGCCACAAGTGCTCTTATATGACTTCGGGGGCCAAGTGCGTAACCTCGACAGACAGTGTGCGTGCCGAACAAAGGTACATCACACAGCAACCCGTGGAATAAATTGATAAAAAGACTCCATCCGAGGAAGACTTGGGTCACTGTCGATTTAAACACGTTTTGCCATTTTTAGTGTCGCGTCGTGTTTGCGCAGTGCACGGCTCGGCACCGATGATCTGATTGGCTCGGCGGTGCGAGCTATTGGATCTCCCCCAGTTGGCTTCACCCACCTTCTGGGAAGTATGGCGGGTTGCGGCATCGTGGATGCAAAAAAATTCTCCGCCTCCTCCTTCTCCTCCTCCCTTTCCTCCTCCTCCTCCTCCTCCCTCACTCCCTCCCTCCCTCCCTCCCTCCCTCCCCCCCCCCCCCCTCCCCCTTCTTCCTCTCCTCCCCATTCCTCTCTCCCTCGGCCCCGTCCTCTCTCTTTCTCTCTCTCTCTCTCTCTTCCCCCCCCCAATCCGCCTCGTCTCCCTTGTCCTCCTCTCTTTCTTATGCTGCCCTCCTCCCGAGAGGCGCCGGGCCGGCGCCTTCTAAGAGGCGGCCGCCGTGTAAGAATTGTTCTTCGTCCCTCTCTACCCCCTTGTGCGCGCCGCCAAGGCTTTGCCCAACTGGACCAACTAGATAGTGTGATTCCCATGCTCAGTACAAGCAAGCGGCGTGCAACTGGGCAGGAGCATCCCACAGCGGTGTAGAGTGTGTGTGTGGTGTGTGCGTACGTGGTGTGTGTGTTGTGTGTATTGTGTGTTTGCTGTGTGTTGGTTTGTGTTTGTTGTGTGCTTGTTGTGTGCTTGTTGTGTGCTTGTTGTGTGCTTGATGTGTGTGTGTGTGTGTTGTGTTTGTGTTTGTGATTGTGCGTGCGTCCGTACGTGCGTGCATGCGTCCGTGCGTGCGTGTGTGCGTAAGTGCGTGCTTGCGTGCGTACGTGCGTGCGTCCGTGCGCGCGTGCGTGCGTGCGTGCGTGGGTGCGCACGTTTGGGTGCGTGCGGCTGGGTGTGTGCGTGTGGGTGGGTGCGTGCGTGGGTGCGGGCGTGCGTGCGTGCGGGCGTGCGAGCGCGTGCGGGCTCGTGCGGGCGCGTGCGGGCGCGTGCGGGCGCGTGCGAACGCGTGCGAACGCGTGCGGGCGCGTGCGGGCGCGTGCGGGCGCGTACGGGCTCGTGCGGACGCGTGCGGGCGCGTGCGGGCGCGTGCGGGCGCGTGCGGGCGCGTGCGGGCGCGTGCGGGCGCATGCGGGCGCGTGCGGGCGCATGCGGGCGCATGCGGGTGCGCGCGTGTGCGTAGGGATGCGCGCGTGTCCGTGCGGAGGCGTGCGGGTGCGTGCGGGTGCGGGTGCGCACGGGTGCGTGCGGGTGCGTGCGTGTGCGTGTGCGTGCAGGTGCGCGTGCGTGCGCGTGCGTGCGAGTGCGTGCGTGCGTGTGTGTATGTGTGTGTGTGTGCTAGCGTGCGTGCGTGTGGAGTGCGTGTGGGTGCGCGCGTGTGGCTGCGTGCGTGTGGCTGCTTGCGTGTTGATTCGGGTGCGTGCGCGTGCGTGCAGGTGCGTGCGCGTGCGTGCGCGGGGGTGCGTGCGGGTGTGTGCGTGCGTGCGTGCGTGCGTGCGTGCGTGTGTGTGATTGTGATTGTGTGTGTGATTGTGATTGTGTGTGATTGTGATTGTGTGTGATTGTGTGTGATTGTGTGTGATTGTGTGTGATTGTGTGTGCGCGTGTGTGTGTGTGCGCGCGTGTGTGCGTGTGTGTGTGTGCTCCACGCTCCCAGCAACTTGCGGCAAAGTCCTGGTCCGACCCACTGCTGGCCACGCCCATCACCTGTTCCCCCTCCCCCATCCCTCTTCACCTGGCTTGGGACCGTGTGTCCCCCTGCTCGCGCGACACGACCGCCTTCCTACGCTCCCACAACTTGCGGCAAGGTCAAGGTCCTACCCACCACTAGCCACCCCCACCACCTGTGCTCCCATCCCCCTCCCTCTTCACCTGACCTGGGACCGTGTGTCCTCCTTTTCCCCCCTACCTGTACCCCCACAGCACTTGTGGCGAGCACGGCCCACGCTCTGCGACCGCTTGCTGGTCCACGTGGTCTCCGACTGTACCTGTTCCCCCCTCCCCCCTCACCTGTCTTTAACATGTTCTGGGACCGTGTGTCATACCTGTACCCATTGGGGCCCAGCCCCCCCACGTGAGCACCCACGGTGCGGGCTGGCACGACGACGGCTGGCGTGGCGCGCCGGCCTTTTTCCTCCCTGTTCGCTTCTTCCCCCCCCGCTCGCTTCCCCCCCTGCCATGGCGGCAGCGCCCGGCACTGCGCGGTTTCGGCCCGTTGCCGGGCGCTGAACCTTGCCGCCTCGGCGGCCCCGCTCGCCATGGCGCTGCGCGGCTCAGGCCCGGCCTTCGGCAATGCGGATGTCAGCGCAACTTGTGTGGCTGCTGCCAGTCTTCACGCGCTGACGGTGCAGGGCTGGTTTTCTCCCTGCACTCCACCGACATCCTGTCGGTCATATACGGCCCCCTCGCCATTGGCCGCACCTCAAGCAGGCTACTACCTGGTCGTGGATTGGACTACCACCCGGGCTCCTCCGCATCACCCGGCGGCACAACGTTGCACATCGCCTTCGTGGTGTTCCTCTTCTTCCTGGGTCTCCTCCGCATCATCCGGTGGCACAACGTTGCTCATCGCCTTCGTGGTGATATTGTCCCTCCTGGGCGTCGACCTGGTCAAGTGGCGCGTCCTCCGCCGCAGCGCTTGAGGCTGGTGTTCGCGACGTGCCGTTGACGGCTACACCATCTCCTTCGACTTCCGGGTCTTCGCCCCCGGTTCTGCACGCGGCGTACACTCTCCTCTGCTAGCTCTTCGGCACCGCCTGCGCCCCGGGTTCTGCCTGCTCCGGCCGCCGGAGGCCCCGCCTTCCTGTGCCTTGTCTCCCCAATTAAAGCTGCGCGTAGCCCGCCTAGGTTTTAGCGGAAGAGGTTCGCTCTCGCCCCGCAGACCAAAAAAGTGCGTGTGCGTGCGTGGTGTGTGCGTGGGTTTGCGTGGCGTGTTTGCGTGGTGTGATTGCGCGTGCGGTTGTGAGTGCGGTTGTGTTGGTGGTTGTGTGTTTGTGTGTGTTTGTGTGGTTGTGTGTCGTGTGTGTGTGTGTTTGTGCGTTTGTGTTTGTGTGTATGTGTTTGTGTGTTTGTGTGCGTTTATCGGAGCGTGGGTGGGTCTGTGTGTGGGTGTGTGCACGTGTGCGTGTGTGCGTGTGTGCGTGCGTGTGTGCATATGCGCGTGTGTGCGCGTGTGCGTGTGAAATTGTGTGCGTGTGTGCTTGTGTGCGTGTGCGCGTGGGTGCGTGGGTGCGTGGGTGCGTGTGTGCGTGTTGCTTGTGCGCGTTTGTGTGTTAGTGTGCGTGGTGCTGTGTGCGTGTGCGTGTGTGCGTGTGCGCGTGCGTGTGTGAGTGCGTGAGTGTGTGTGAGAGTGTGTGAGGGTGTGTGCTGTGTGTGTTGTGTGTGTTGTGTGTTGGGTGTTGTGTGTACTGGTGTTGTTTGTGTGTGATGGGTGTTTGTATGTATGTTCGTGTGTGTGTGTGTTCGTTTGTGTGTGTGTGTTTGTGTGTGTGCTTGTGTGTGTTGTGTGTGCGTTTGTGTGTGTTTGTGTTTGTGTGTGGGTGTGTTTGTATGTGTGTTTGTGTGTGCGTGTGTGTGTGTGTTTGTGGGTTAGTGTGTGAGTTTGTGTGTGCGTGTGCGTGTGTGCGTGTGCGCGTGCGTGCGTGTGCGAGTGTGTGAGTGTGTGTGTGTGTGAGTGTGTGTGAGAGTGTGTGATGTGTGTTTGTGTGTGTTGTGTGTGCGTTGTGTGTTTGCGTTTGTGTGTGAGTGCGTTCGTGTGTTCGTGTGCTTGCATGTGTGCTGCAGTGTGTGTTTCAGTGTTTGCTGCAGTATGTGCTTCAGTGTGCTGCAGCGTGAGCCGAGATGGGTCCATCTTCCGACATCGGTCACGGATGAGTCCCGTCGCACGCAGCCGCGAGCACGTCCTGTGGGGTCCCCGGGCGTCAGTGTCCCGAGCTTAGCCCAGCCTCTCGCTCCGCGGAGCGCGCTCCTGGCCTCGCTCCGAGGGGCGGCACGACCGCCCCGCGTCTGTTTTCGATCCGCGCCTCGGCCCTGGGCCGCGCACGAGGCGGCCTTCGGCTGCAGTTTCGCGCTGCCGAGGGCAGGCTCCAAGGAGGAGACAACGGGAAGAGAAAGGGCAGGAGAAGGAGGAGGAGCAGGAGAAGGAGGGGGAGGAGAAGGGGGAGGAGCAGGACGAGGAGAAGGAGGAGGAGGAGGAGGAGGGGGAGGGGGAGGGAGATGGAGGCGCCCGCGAAATGGCGGCCGAGGCGGGAAGCAAGACTGTGTCGAGCCGCTTCTCCGAGAAGGTCTTCGCAGCCGCCGCCGTGGAGAGGGGGGAGAAGGACATCGCCAGGGAACAAAACATGACATAAGCATACACATTCCAAGGTCCGCGCGGAGTTCTCGGATCGGCGCTGGAGCCCCCTGGCGGCGCTTCCGGCGCCGCCTTTAGCGCGCCCCGTGCGCCAGGGAGGGTGTTCCAGCGCCGATCCAAGAAATACGCGCGGACTTTCAAAAATTGATGTTTCTGTCGTGGTTCATTCCTCTACACGAGGAACATCGAGGAGAAGGAGGAGGAGGAGGATCACTGACCAAGCTGCCAGGACAGCGAGCGGGCAGCCTTTGGACAGTCCCTGAGCCAACCAGGGATTGTCAACGGGGTGCACCCGTTACCTGGGGAAACCCCAAGTCGTTGCTTGTTGTTGTCGGTTGTTAACGAGGGCGAAACCTGGTCAGCAACCCACGATGCAACGCACTGGATGGAACAAGAGTCTAAACTTTGTGGCAGCGAGACGCTGCAAGGCTACGCGATGCGATGCAACGCGGAGACAGGCAACGCAAAGTTCTGAAGCAGGCTCCAAGAGGCTCCCAAACTTGCTGCACTTAGGCAGCGCTAAGTGTAGCAAGTGCGTCTGCGTGCCGAGTGGCACCTGGGAGCGCGAAGCAAGACACTGGATGGAACAACGTAGTATTGACACTGCTGGGACCTCACGGATACTGCCACATGTTGCCGAAGCTGTTATTACACTTGGTGGGAGTGTTAGCCTAGTACCGCGCTCTGTGCTGGAGCCCGCGCCTGCAAACCTCCTCGCCTGCGGGCGCGAAGATTAACCTCGACTAAAGACGAGCCGGGCGAGGTCCCCACCCAGAGACGAACAGGACACATTGAGTGGAGGTGCGCGCAGCGACTTAGCCTAAACAAGTGCGGCGCTGCGGATGCCAAGAATCCTGCCGCAATGTCGAGTCGGGCTGGCCGAAACGGAGGAGGAGGAGGAAAGGGAGGAGGAGGAGGAGGAGGCTGAGACAGCGGCAGTTGGCCTTCGGGTGGGGGGCCCTCGGCCACGGCCGGGCGCAGCTCGGGGAGCCGGCGCGCGTGGACCCCGGGGAGGGGTCCAGGGACCGGTTGTGGCTGTGAGCGACCGTGGTCTCTCAACCTTGCCGTGTTCCGAGCGCACGCGCCACTCCTGGACAACCGCACCTTTTCCGCTCCCCCGCTATTTGATTCTTCGTGTTATTATTGTTGTTAGTGTGGTTGCTCGTCGTATGCGTAGTGCTATTGTTATTATCCGTCTTAGTATTGAGCTTATTCGTCTCAGTGTTACTTTTTCAGTATGACCTGTCTTATTTCTTCGTAGTGGAATGATGTGTAATAATATATTCCTTCGTAGCACCGGTTCATCTCAGTAGTGTTGATGTGAGGGTTATGTTTATTAGTATTACGAGTACACGTTTTATCATCAAGGTCTTCGAAGTAGTAAAGTCATCAGTCTTAGGAGTATTAGTTGTATTATTCGTATCATGAATGTTCGTCTTATTCGTATTGATTTGATTGTTGTCAGTACCATTGCTATTATCAGTAGATTGATTCGTATTATCATTGTTCTTCCTCCTCCTCCTCCTCCTGCCCCCCCTCCTCTTCCTCCTCCTCCTCCTCCTCCTCCTCCTGCCCCCCCTCCTCTTCCTCCTCCTCCTCCTCATCTTCCTCCTCCAAGGCCGCGGACGGCTCAGGCCATGAACACACACGGTCTCTGCCGCACGTCCCCCGACCACCCTCCACCCGCCAGGACCCCGAGAGGGACTGCTCATTCGGCTGGCTGCTGGCGGCACCCCAGCGCGCCGACGGCATGATGGCCAATGCGGAGGATGACCGCTGCGGCGCCCCCCCATCGGTGGTCAGGCGCTCACGGGCTCAGCGCCGCCGAGCACGACTGCGATGTCGACTCTTCCGGACTGGAGCGGCTGCAGGCCTTCCGCCTGGCCTCGTGGAGATGCAGATCGTACCGAAGAGCTTCCACTATGAGAAGTCGGACAAGGCCATGTTGGCGAGGGACTCCGAGTGCGACGGCGCCGAACCGCAGATCCACGACGTCCCGAATTGCATCCTCTACTCCAGCTGCGCCGCGAAGACCTCGCAGGTGAATTGCGAGAAGTACGACGGTAACCCCTGCCTCGAGCGCTACGAGACGACCCACGGGAAGTCGGACACGGACATGTTGGTGAGCGTCCTCGACGGCCGCATCGGGACGAACGTCTACGACAAGGACGGCACGACGCACGACACGGACATGCTGGTGAGCGTCCCCGACGGCCGCACCGAGGCGAACATTTATGGTTTCTACAAGGACGACAATGCGAATGGCATTACTCGCTCCAGCTTCGCCGCGCCGACGCCGCAGGGGGTCAACGAGATGCAGACCGTGCCGAAGAACTCCCACCACGACAAGGTGGACAATGCCATGCTGAGGATGGACTCCGATGGCGACGGCACCGAACGCAGATCAGCGACGCCCCTCACGGCATCGTGTGCTGCAGCTGCCCCGCGAAGACGTCGCAGGTGATGAGCGAGAAGTACGACGGCCACCGCTGCCTTGTGTGCTACGAGATGATCGAGCCGAATACCTACGACATCGGCGGCATGGACGGCGAGAAGTACAGCGACCCGTTCTGCCTCAAGTGCTGCGAGATGATGCACAGGCGCGGGAAGTCGGACAAGGCCTTCGGGACGAACGCTTACGACGCCTACGACAAGGACGGCACGACGAACGACACGGATATGATGGTGAGCGTCCCCGATGGCCGCCTCGAGGCGAGTACCTGCGGCTTCTGCAACAAGGACGACACAGCGACTGGCATTTTCCGCGCCAACGTCGCCGCGCCGACGCCGCAGGGGGTCAACGAGAAGCAGATCGTGCCGAAGAACTGCCACTACGACAAGGTGGGCAAGGCCTTGCTGAGGATGGACTCCGATGGCGACGGCATCGAACCGCATATCAGCGACGTCCCTAACTGCATCGTGTGCTGCAGCTGCCCCGCGAAGAAGTCGCAGGTGATGAGCGAGAAGTACGACGGCCACCTCTGTCTTGCGTGCTACGGGACGACTGAGTCGAACACCTACGAAATCTGCGGCATGGACGGCGAGAAGCACAGTGACCCGTTCTGCCTCAAGTGCTGCGAGATGGTGCACAGGCGCGGGAAGTCGGGCAAGGCCAAGCTGACGAGCGACCGCGAGGGCGGAAACACGACCAACCCGGATCGGATCGACACCTACGCCGAGGAGAAGTTCGACGAGGAGGCGGAGGGCGACAGCATCCCCATCGACATCTACGACGCCTTCGCCCGCGCCTGCAGCGACGCGATAGTGGACCTGACGCTGCAGAATAGCGAGGAGATGGTGACCGCGGCCCTCGAGCGGACGATGTCTGAGACGGCGTCCCACTCTTTCTGGGATTCCGTCGAGGGTTTGTGGACCATCAACAGGATGGCTAGGCGACACATTCAGCTGCTGATCTGCGCATCTCTGCCCCTCTGCGAGTTGTTTCCCATTCTCGTTTCGTGCCGCGAGCTGTCGTTGCCGCGCGCGCGCCCGTGCAGCGAATTTCCCCCGCGTCTGGTTTCTCACCGACAATCTGCCGCCCCGAGCAGCGCTGTCGCGCGTGCCCCAGACGCGCCGCCGAGAGAGCATGGACCTGATGGGGTCCAGCGACGGTCTTGCTGTACTATACACCACTTTTCCTCCCCAGCACACAGGCCCCTTCGTCGAGTTAAAAAATATTCCTCCTCCTCCTCCACCTCCTCCCCCTCCTCTGCGTTTTCTTTTTCTTCTTTCAGCACGTCCCCCTTCCCCCGCCGTCCGCGCACACACCTTGGACTGCGACGCGCTAGTAGCCCTACTCCTGTCCCCCCCCGACGGGGGCGAGGGCGAGGGGGGGGAGGGGGGAGAAGAGAGCGAAGGAGCGGGAGAGGAGGGAGGGAGGAAGGAGGGAGGAGAAAGGGAGGAAGGAGGAGGAGCCTGCATTTGCCACGTCCAGCTCTTCACTTCGGCGCACCCGGCGTACGGCGCGGCCAGCCCCGAAGCCCACGGAAGCGCGCGCGGGGGGGAGACTTCCGATGGGCCCCTCGCCCAAATGCGCGGTTTCCGAGGGGGTACACCCCCGCTCGCCCTCGGAGAAAGAGACAGAAGGGCCATATTATCCCGAGATGTCGCGGGAGCCTCCTCCTCTTCCTCTTCCTCCTCCTCCTCCTCCTCCTCCTCCTCCTCCTCCGCCTCCTCTTCCTCCTCCTCCTCCTCCTCCTCCTCCTCCTTCTCCTCCTTCTCCTCCTCCTATTCCTCCTCCTCCTCCTCCTCCTCTTCCTCCTCCTCCGCCTCCCCCCCTTGTTTCGCCGACGCGGAAGCTTGTCGACGCCGATCTTCGACGAAGATTCCACGGCATAAACATAAACTTTTGGCGCTCCTCGTGGAGTTATTGGATTTGCGCTGGACCCCCCTCCCTGGCGCGCGGAGCGCGCCAAGGGCGGCGCCAGAGGCGCCGCCAGGGAGGCGTGCCGGGCACCCGGGCGTGCAGCGAAAATCGGCGGCCACGCTAACCTGGCCATATGAATCCGCTAGGACCCCTACAGAGGCAAGCTCTGATTGGGGAAGATACGCACACGCGGTTCCCATCTTGGTCATGGTCCCCGTATGCTTCCTCTCCGCGCCCGCAGGACCGCTCGTCGCCCGGGAGCCCGGTGTCCGTGAAGCCCCCTGGCGTGGATGCCAGACGCAGGCGCCGCTGTCACCGCCGCCATGGCCGCCGCTATATCGCCGCCGCCTCTGCCGCGACGGCGGCGGCCGTCGCCGCTGCCCCAGCCGCCCAATCGCCACTCGACCGCCGCCGTCGTCGTCGTCGTCGGATGTCTGGGCGACGAAGGCGTCGGATGTCTGGGCCTCGCGGCCCGCCCCGCGGCCTCCGCGCGACAGAGGGAACTCCGCGCCGCGAGAAGGCGCCGCGGCGGGGCCCCGCCGTGAGGAGCGGGGCTTCCGGGTCGGAGGGTGAGCTCGGAGCCTCCGGAGCTCGTCGTCGTCTTTGTTGTCGTCGTCTTCCACAGGACAATAACAAGACAGTCTGAAGAGCAAGCATCGCAACATCCCGCGGGGCAGCCCAAGGGATAAGCCAGGGGGAAGCCGTAGGACAGCTCCAGGACAACCCCGTGCGACTGAGACTTCCAGCGCGATTGAGAGCTCCCGTGATGACTTTCTCATGGATTTTGCCCCGACGGGTTCCTAAACAGCCCTGTGACATCCCACGGGGCAACGGGCGAACAAACCTTGTGAAAGCCCTGGGACAATCCTCGGGACCACGGCACAGTTACGGGATAACCCACGGAACAACCCACGGGACAACCCACGGGAACAACGACGGCATGACCCACGGGACAACCAATGGACCACCATGGGACAACCCACGGAACAACCCAGGGAAACCGTGGGACAACCCGCGGGACACCCCGCGGGACAACCCACGGGACATCCCACAGAACAATCCGCGGGACATCCCGCGAGGCATCGCAAGGCCCACGGAGAAGCTTGTTGTCTCAGCTGGCCCTGGCCTCGGCCGACGCATGGTCGCCCCTCAGCAGTTTCACGCCTGCCTCCCCGCGCACGGCGCGAACCGAAGTCGAAGTCGATCTCCCAGGCTGTCTCGCCGCCCGCCGCAGGCCAGCACGCCCGTTGCGGCCGACCGCATGGCTGCGCCGCCGGCCCGCACAGCCGCGAAGGAGCAGCGTGCCGGGGCCAGGGGCACGGCGGAGGCTGAGGCAGCCTCGCCGGGGGATCACACCTGAGCCGTGTGACGAGCACGCGAAGTGAGGCTAGGGCAGCACCCTCGGTGGGGCCGCAGCGCGTGCTGTCTTCCGCGCCAGTGACCAGAAGGTCGATTTCCCGGGAGTGATCATTGCATTCTCACCCCACCTCTTCGGCCTGGCCCGACGCCTCCCGCCGCGCACCGATTACATGACCGCCGCTCTGTAGTTTTGCAGTCTAGTCGAGGGCCGCAATTGATTTGCGCGGAGGCGCGCTGAACATGCGTGGGCGGCGCCTTCACGATTTCTTCGCTGTGGCACTGTGTCGTGCGACTGCGCGACCTGATGGTTCGTGGAGGAGAACAAGTCTTCATCCCCCAACCTCCGATCGCGGTTTGCCGCACCTCTCACCCCAGAAGGGGAGCATTCGCAACACACGATCAGGCCAGCACGCCACAGGGGTGCATCGTTGGCATGTTGCCACCGGCCCCCACGTCCTACGCCCGATACGATGTTATTCGGGACGTGTGTTCTATTGCGCGTTCCCCCCGTTAAGCTACGCCTCTATTATGTCGGCCCTCGTCACGTTGCCTGCGCCAACACACGTGTTGAGGATCATCGACCAAACCCACTTTTCCCAACGTGGGGCACACAGCTAAGTGGCCGGGACCCGCGCCTGCGTTGATGCTTGCGAAGCCGTTCGCGCTCTTTCGCTACACTGGGCGGCTGTCCTCAACGTGGGAATCTGGCCCCTCCTGGCAGCACCGCATCGGGCTTGGCGGCCGCGCCCGCTTCGTACCCGCATGGCCGTCTTGCGCAGCGCTTTCTTCTCCGGCCTTGCCTGCTGTCCCTCCTCCGCAGGGAGGGACGTCAGGGGGCCACCTCGCCGATCCTGCCTTGGGCCGATCCTGGGCGCAGGGTCGGCGCAGCACGCTTCGCCGGCCGAGCCACGAGGGCGTATGCACCGATCCTGGGCCCAATAGTGCAAGCTTTCTAGATGGGGTTGGAGGATTGCGCCGCGTCAACCGATGCATGGCCGATGCGGCTCGATCTTTAGCCGGACTTTCTCCACGCCGACGGCGCCGATGCATCGGCGATGCGTCGAAGAATGCCCCATGTATTCGGACTCCATATGGGGGGCCTGTAAGTATGGGCCTGGCCGGGATTGGTGCGGCGGTCAATTAACATCCCCCTGATATGTGTTCCTCCTCTCTTTGTTTTACGCTTTCACCTACCGTCCGCCCCATCCTGCCCTCTCTTCTCCCTCCTCCCCATCCCTTCCTGGTCTGCTCCACCCTCCTTTTGCTCTCCTTCCTCCTCCTTCCATCTCTGCCCTAGTCATAACTCCTCTCCCCCCTTCCGCCTCGCCCTCTTCTTCATCCTCTCCCTCCTCATCCTCCTCCTCTTCCTCCTCCTCCTCATCATCATCATCATCACCATCACCATCATCATTATCATCATCACCATCCTCCTCCTCTTCCTCTTCCTCCTCCTGATTATCCGCCTCCTCCCTCCTCCTCCGCCTCCTCCTCCTCTTCCTCCTCCTCCCTCTCCTCCTCCCTCTCCTCCTCTCTATCCTCCTCCTCGCCCCTCAAGCGCCATTTGGGCTCGAACCATTTTGGCGAGCCCGTCTCCTGTGCCTGCACGAGGTGCTTGGGGCACTTCCTTTCGAGAGCCCCCATTGGGCCACTCCAGAGGACGACTAAAACAGGAGATTCTCTCATTTGATGGCGGCGTCTGGACATATTTGGTCTTGTTGCAGATGTGGCCGCGCAGAGTGGAAAACGATCCTCACAGTCAACAACAGACAGCGTCCATCGTGCAAACGTCCGGTGAAGCTACACATGTCTAAGTTCGACAGCAGTCAACATCAGCAGCAGCCAGAGGACACGGGGGGGCAAGGGCAAAGGCACGGATGGGCCGCGCCAGGCTCCGCCCCAGGACGAGCTGTCCCTCCTGAGGCTGACGCTCAAGACCACCGTCGACCCGAAGCTCAAGGCCTCCCTCCAGGCGCGCGTGGCGGAGCTGGACGTTCCCTCCCAGAGTGCGGCCTCCAGCGAGGCCCATGCAGCGGCGGAAGCAGTTCGCCGCGCCGTGAGCGCCTGGAAGAATGCCGACCACAAGCACTCAGACGGTGGCCAACGTGGTGCGGCTCCAGCAGGCACTCACCGCCGCCGAGGAGAAGTAGGCAGCTGCTGGCCTGGTGTTGGCGCAGGCGGCTCGCACCAAGACCCAGGCCACCGCGGCTCTCGCCGCGGCCGAGGGTCTGGGCACCGCAATTGCCGCAGCCTCATCTGAGGCACCCAAGTTCGAGCTGAAGGGGGGCGTATCCATATTCGAGGGATTCGACACACTAGAGTGCGAGGATAACGAGACTTGCGCAAGCTCCAGCAGGACCCCACCACCGCCCAGCAGCCCCTGGCGACGAAGGAGCCCGAGGTCAACGCAGTAATGGAGAAGGCCGCGGCCATACGAGAGGCCCTCAACAGCCGCCTGGTCAAGAAGCGCAAGGTCGGCGAGGAGGCAGAGGAGGCAGGTGCCGCCACGCAGGAGGCGGCCGAACCCTCTGCCCCCGCCGCGGCGCCCGCCGCAAGCGCCGCGGCCGCCTCCGCGGCCAGCAGCAGGCCAGTCGACCCCGCCCAGGCGCCACTGGGCGTAGAGGACGACGCAGTCCTGCGAACGGCGGCGGAGAGCCCCACCGAGGCCAAGCGGGCGGCCGAGGAGCGGAAGCTGGAGGACCAGAAGCAGAACTCGCAGCAGTTCACCGGCAAGGGCAAGGGCAACTCCACCCCCAAGTCTGGCAAGAGCAAGCCAGGTGCAGGGAGCCAGCGCACGCCAGCGACTAGCACATGACTGGGTTCCGACAGGGACAGCTGCAGCGCTGAGTCAGAGCTCATGGACGGCACGAGGACAGACTCGCAGCAACTGCAGCCAGTGGACTCAGGCACTACTCCAGCGGTGCCAACTACGTCTTCCTTCTTCGCCAATGTGACCTGCATTGGCGACGAGGCGTGGCAGCGCCTGCCAACATGCAAGCACGGCTTCCTGGGCATCGTGGAATCTCGTGTGGATGAGCCCGAGGTTCGCCGATGGGATGCAAAGTCACGGGAAGCAAAGCTACGTTTGCTCGCTAATTCGGCCCGAGTACGTGATCGTAGAGTGGCCAAGTCGCAGAAAGTTCGTTCCAATGAAGGTGGAGAGTGGACCGTGGCTCGAGGCCGCTTTCATATGCAGCCCTTACTTAGCGCAGCGTCACGACGCCCTCTGGCAGCACCAGGTCATGCTCAGCTAGACGGGCTCATGGCGGTCATCCTTCACCTTAGAGGCTACGCCATCGTGGCCATAGTGTTTTACGCGCACCCGAGCATAGGCTTCAACGGCCCCGGATCCGCCTCCCACGGTTCGTGGCGGGCGGCTCCAACATCTGCCGGAGTCCTATGCAAGTCTACCTCCTTCTCGAAGCTGGCAGCGCGCCCGAGGACCACGCGAGCTTCCATCGAGGCCACATGTAATCTTGGACGACATGATCGGTCACATATTGATTTCGCGTTAGGCTCAGCGACAGCAACTTCGCACATCATTGATGTCATTCCAGAAGTACATGGCCCTTGGAAGCCCCACATCGGGTTGATTCTTCGACTACGGCAGAGCGCCGAGCAGCTGGTGGCGCGCTTCCCGGCGACGCCGAGGCGGCTGCCGCAGCGCGCCAGGCCGCTGGCGACGCCGACGGCTGACCCCAAGTCAGCACGAGCGCGCGAAGCGGCCGCAGAGCGGCGTCAGCAGAGAGCAGGGTCCAGAAAACAGCAGTACGATGTGTTGTTTGGCGATCTCTTCCAGCCCGAACATCCAAAGCACGAACAGCTTAGTGGCGAGTCCGAGCTCGAGCCAAATCCGGGTGTTCCGCCTGTCCCCGAAGAACCTCATCGGCGATTCTGAAGGCACGAGTCCGAAGAGGACCCGTGGGCCCACGAAACGTGTTTCACCAGCCGCAGGCTTAATGTGGAGGCGTATTCTGGTCCTGCGGGGGGCGGCTTCGGGCGACGCTCCAGCCGCGGCGCCGAGTTTGGAATGTAGCCCCCCCGCATCCGATGAGCAGCACCCCCACCTAAACTTTCAAGGCAGTGGCGACCCCGCCCCCGCCCCCCCCTCTTCGCCCTCCGCCCCCCTTTCCCCCGCCCCCCCCCCCCGCCTTCCCCGAGCGCGGCGCGGTGACTTCTGCCACCCCCGAAGATGCGCGGCATCAGCGTCGCCAGGGCGTGGATTGCGTTCCAGCGCAGGCTTGCCCACCGAACGACGCGCTGCGTCGGCCCGTAGCCTTTTCGCCCATTAGCACACCCACTCCGTTTGCGATATCCTCACTTTATGCGTCGTAGTCTTCGGCCGTGGAGTCGACCTGCCATAGCCATCACGCGACGACAGCAGCCGCGGGACGCGCGCGGGCGAGAGCGGCAGAGTTCTACGAGGGGGCCACTCATCTGCAGGAGCGGCAACGTACGACACCAGAGCGGGATCTCATCGCTAGTTGGCGGTATCATTTGGCTACAGTGCCGGCAGGACTCCTTCGACATGCGGCACGGCCTCCCGCACCCAAGCAGCGCGGACAGCATCTCTCGGCACTGGCCAGTCACTTGGACGAGCGCCCTGAGAAGGGCCGCGCAGTCATACCGCCCTCTCGAGACCAGCCGCGGAGACGCCGGCAGTCGTTGTCTGAGGAGCTCCGCGCACGACACATCAACCCGACGGAGCAACCGCCAAACGACAAGACTGCCGCCCAACCTAATGCCACCGCCACCCCGAACTCCGAACGGGAACCTCTCACTGACTTGCAGATCCGACGCTGCAGCCCTGGAAAAGCTCGTTGGTCTGTGCAGCATCATCGAGTCCGTGGTCACGTGGCCTCATCAGATCATGGCAGCGCTAGGACGCCTGCTGCCGAAAAAGACGGCAGGCGACCGCATCATCGGTCTTGTATCAATGCTCAGTCGCATTTAGTTGTGCAAGAATGGTCTGATCAGAATGCCCCCATTCTGGGACGCAGCAGCGCGGGGCAACGCGGCCCCCCGCGAAGCCTTCACTCGCACTTTGCCAGAGGAGGTGGGGCATGAGCTACAGACCCCAGCAGGCACAGGCCTTCTGGACACCGATTGTTTCTATGACAACATCCGCTGCGAGTATTTGATACCAGCAGGGTTGAAGTTAGGTGTCCCAGCATGCGTTCTGCGCCTCGAGAGCTCGTTGTGCAGCGCCGAGGTTGCTTGGCCAGAGTGAGTCCGGGGCCGCGCCCATCGAGCCGACTCAGTCAATTGTGCAAGGGCCACGTTCTGGCACGCGCATCGGACGCATCATGACATATTATACGTTGCATCGCCTTTGCCTAGCTCACCCACGGATGGGCAACAGCATATGCATTGACGAGCTTACGTTTCGCGCCGTTGGCTCCCGCTCCAGCATCCGACGGCAGCTGATCGACAGCATCAAGGCCACCTGTCAAGGTCTTGCCGAGGCGAAGCTCAGAGTGGCGAACAAGCCGGCGGTGATGCGCTCAGTCCATTCCGACGCGGCGATGGTCAACTGAGCGCTGCGCGCGGCGGGCTACACCTTCAAGTCTCAACAGTCTGCGGCAGATCTTGGCGTGGATATTGCATGTTCGCAGCGCGCGAAGGAAGCGGCTTCAAAAATATGACGTCATGCATCGGCAGGCGGGCCGACGCTACACCACGACGTCCAACCTGGAACGCCTGGGCGCACGAACTGCTGGAGGCTAGGGCTACCAGATCCACGGCGTGTTCGGCACCTACCTTCCTACCTACAGGCGACGGCTCGGGGCGGCAGTGGCAGCCCCATCGCGCGGCCGTTGCCTAACTAGTCTTCTCGCCTCGCGTGCCCCCCAGGACCCAGCCACCAAGATGACCGCAGACTGCCTCCGCACATGTTTTCAAATTTGGCAAGATGCACCCACGCTGCGATCAAGCGTCAGTCGAGCGCGGCCCATCGCTCCACAGCAGGTGCGAGATGTTGATCTTACCCAACGGACTCGTCACATCCGGGGCCCACTGACAGCCATCAACAATTCGTTGCTGGACAACGGTTGGAATCCAGAGTCTGCCATGCCATTCCAGGTCCAGAGCCCGATGAGACTATTACCTGGTACTTTGGCGATGAAGCTTGGACTGGTTTCAAAGACGTAAAGGCCCTTGACGGTATCTTGCGAGATCTGGAACATCCAATTCTTGACGCTTCGCGCATCGAAGAGACCGGCAAACAAGATGGTATAGTCGACAGGACCTCCAACATATACTCCTTCCCCGACCTGCTTCCGCCCCTGGTTCCTCAGCTGCCCACGCTTTCCACCCTCCGTCTGGAAGGGGGCGAGTCAAAAGAGGCCCAGTTCGTGCCCTGGTCAAATACCTGGTCGAGTGGAGCCACACAATATACACTCTCTGGGCCGCCTTTGCACAGCAACAGGGAGAGAGCATTGAGGGCGACATAACCGACGAAACTAGGTGGCCGGCCGAACTGTTGCTGCCCTTTCTGAAGTCGGTGTACGGAGAAGAAATCCCAGACGATGGCCGCCCTCCGCACATTCCATGGGACGGGCAGAGGGCAGCGGCAGCAAGGGTAGTCTCACACTTGGTGGGTGGCAACCAAAAGTACCAGGAGGACTGGGATCGCTACGCAGGCAACCTCGCCAACCAGTAAGGACAGGGCCCCTACCGACAGCCGCTACACGTCCTCATGGCGTTCCTCACCAGGCTGGAGGACTCTGACCTGACCAGAGGAACCATCGAGCACCTCGCCGCCCTGCCTCAGAAAACGACGGCTAGAGGCGCAGACCGCGACAAGTCTCTTGCAACCAGTTGGCTCAGCAGGCCCTGGAGGAAGGAATCACCCGTAGCTGACCGCCACGTAGGGAATCACGGTGCACCCCCGACCCGCGCTAACGTGCCACCCCAGCAGCCCGCCGAACCTGGCCAGTCCAATGCAGTCCCAGAAGAGGAGCCGCCCTCACCAGAGCGCTGGAATGGCGATGGCGATGTGGAAGGGGACGACTGGGGTGACGAGGCTGGCAAGACATCCGAAACTGACGCCCAGGCGCGTTCCAGCCCGCAGGACATCTCCGTTGACTCCGGATCGCAGGTCAGCCCCACCCATCCTGAAGACGACGTTTGCGACACAGCCCCCGCGGACGACAAGATGGCCCAGAGCCCCCCCCCCCCGCTCTGGACAAAACCTCCCCACAGGGCAGACTCAGACGCCCGGCCCCAATTCGAGCGGGCTGCCGCCAGAGGAACACTCAGAGACGGTTTTGCCCTAGGCGGCACCCGCCCCAGAGAGGATCGGACCCGGAGTCTGCACGCAGGCAGTGACGGCAAGACTCTTAGATACTCGGGGGGCGAAGGTGGCCGCCGTGCACCCGCGGTTGACGAAGTCAGGACCAGAGAGCGCTCGGCCACACCGCCGCCTCGCAACTCATCTAGAGCACGGCGCACCACCCAGGACTCGTGGGACGACACGCGGACTGCGACAATACCCGCAGCACGCCCTGCCGACCCCATGGGAGGCCCCCCCATGCATTTGAGGTCTATCGACGAGGCAGACGTCGCAAGGGACGAACCAGCACCCGACAAGATCACACGGATGCAGAAGGCGTTGGGAGGCGCGTTTAACGGAGTCTGGAGCGCCTGGGTCAGGAAGGCAGCACTCAGTCAAGGGAGTACCTACATCAAGTCCGATCCCAGGCTAAATTCAGCACATCAACGCAACGAGTTCCTCCAGGCATGGAGCAAAATTGGATTTGACACCTATAAGATGGATAGAGAATACCAGCTCCACGTCGACTGGCCGAGTGTCATGGAGAAGCATCGCAAGCTTACGCAACGCGACACCAGACTGCGCACCGCCGACGGGCCCGTTGGTAGCGGACGCCCACCCCCATGGACCGAAGGCAAGGAGGTTGCAAGGGCCCCCCCATGGACCACTGAAGGCAGGGGAGGCTGCATGGACAGGGGCATCTGGGTCAGACGCATCGCGGCGTGCATGGCAGTCCTGGGACGCGCGGGGCCACCAGCGGGACACATGGACCGACACTGACTGGAAGGCGAAGGGTAAGCGGTTCCCCCCCAGAGGGGAAACCCAGCACGCAGACAAACGCCCGCGGGGGTGGGACTTCCGACCCAAGTGATCGGGGCACAAGTGGGCCAGCTCAGTTCGCGGACAACCCCCCCAAGCGTCGGGGGCGCCGCGGCTCTCGCCGACATGGCCTTCTCTCGCGTGCACGCTTCCGGTCGCCCCTCCACCTCGCTTCTTCTTCCCCCCCTCCGCCTTCGCCCGTCCTCTCTGATGAGGGTCGTGCGTGCAGCCCTTCTGCGGCTCGAGTCTATCACTGGTGCTCTGGACCATGTCAGTTCTCAGGGTCGCGACGCGGCCCGTCATGGATCGCAACGCCGGCTTCCTTGGCAACAATGATC